CTCTTCCTCTTCCTCTTCCTCTTCCTCTTCCTCTTCCTCTTCCTCTTCCTCTTCATCCTCCGACCCCAGCGGCGTATGAATCACGTCACCGTCACTTGAGCAGGGACCCTCAAGACTCGCCCATATCCACGTGCTGTCGACCTCCTCAAACATCGTATCTGTCTCCGGCAGCTCCGGAAACGGCCCAACATCAACCCCCTGCTTAATACTATCCAGCCGCCATTGAACCTTCCATACCCCGACGACAAGTCCGAAAAACTCATCATCAAGCTCTCTCATCCCAGCTTGAAGTTCACACAGCTGGTCCGTAACGTCCCCGTGGGCGCGACTGGCTGCTGGCATGCGCAGATATCTCGCGGTAAGCTGAAGCTCACCAGTCATGAAACAAAAAGTTGTCTTGAAAAAATCCATGGTGATATCCTCCACAGACGTGAAGTGTCTCCAACCTGCCCGTATTTTCTTGAAATGTTCCCGCAAGTCATCGTCGTAGTTCTCGAAGGATGGGTCGAGGCCCGGTTCTCTAAGTACATGAATTACTTCGATGACGAGGCTGGCATACCGGCATAGGATCGAGAAGGTTGCCTTGCGTAGTTCGGAGAACCAGCGGATCGCGTGTGGTTCTTCGTTGACGGGCCATTCTGAGGCGCGTAGATGTGGGAGATGGCCTAACGGGTTGGTGATGGATGTGTTGTTGTTCCCCCCCCCTGGGCGTGGATGGGGGGGTAAAGTGTTATATGAGGCTTGTGGGTTTGCCATATCCGGTATTTTTTTTTTTTTTTTTGGTTTCGTAGATGGTAGAAATAGATATGTTCAAGTTGTTATGTTATGAATATCGCAGGATATTCTTGTGAGGAACGCGAGATTGGTAGGAGGAAAGGTTGAAGTGAAAGGGATACAGAAGGGGAGGAATTCTGTATCTGCTGTGAAGAATGGACGGATAGTATATATGGGAAGCATGCCATCACGGATAAGAGTTGAATGGCAGGCATGATTGAGTTATACTTCGTAATGCGATATCCGGGGACATCTAGGGGCATCTGTCATCCTCGATATACTTCCTGGGCTTGGAAGGTTTGTTCGTTTCCATGGCGAGGAGTATAAGCTATGTCAAACAAGTTTGGTAAGTGCCAGTTTTGAAAAACTCCAACAAGAATGATGGACCAGGGGGGTCAGTTGCTGCTTCAATACATAGGAATATTCACTTTGTGTGAATGTTTTGGCACAGTGAAATGTTCAGTTCTGCTGAAATCACACGTAGAAGGAGAAGAATGACGGAGGCAAGGAAGGCTGGGATGAAAGGAGGAGGATAGCCTGGAGAAGGAAAATATAGATCTTCCGGGGCTACCCCTGCGTCGCCAGCCCTTGAAGCGATCAGTTTTGGAGACTTGGGTCTGGATATTACAAACGTGAGAGGAAGATGAAGAATATCGAGATGTCGACGACTAAGAAAGATCGATTGATATCGTATATGGTATGCTGTATATAGAACAGAAGAAAAGCTTAGACAAAAGAAAAGCTATACTCATACATAGATCCGTAGATAGCAAACAGAACGAAAAAAAAAATCATGATGAGCTTTTCCCCTCGCTCTAATCATTTATAACAAGGACATAATAAAAACGCAAAAGAAGCCACTCTAAGGTATCAAGACATCAAAACACCCCGCTTACTCGGCAACCCAAACGGCGGCCATACCCATACCAGTACCCACGCACATACTGGTGACACCAATCTTCTTGCCCGTCCGGTTCAGCTCAGTCAAGAGAGTGCTAACCTGTCTCGAGCCAGTGCAGCCAAGAGGGTGTCCGAAAGCAATAGCACCACCCTTGGGGTTAATCTTCTCAAGAGGGAGTCCCAGCTCCTTAACACACCACACGGCCTGCGAGGCAAAAGCCTCGTTGATCTCGTAGATGTCGACATCGTCCTTGGAGATACCGGCCTTCTGGAGAGCGACGGGGATGGCCGCCCAGGGGCCAATACCCATGAGAAGTGGCTTGACACCGACAACGCTGGCGGTCACGTACTTGCCGATGATCTTCTGGCCGAGACGCTCAGCGGTAGATCGTTTCATGAGGAGCACAGCAGCGGCGCCGTCGGAGATCTGCGAGGAGTTACCGGCGTGGATGCTGCCATCCTTGGCGAAGGCGGGGCGGATCTTGCCGAGAGACTCAGCGGTGATGTTTGGTCGGACGCCGTCGTCCTTGGAGACGGTGATGGTAGATTCCTTGTCGGTCTTGGGGTCAACGTATTTGACGGTCTGAGGGGCAATTTCTTCGTTGAAGAGACCGGCTTCTTGGGCCTTGATGGCCTTTTGGTAGGAGGAGGCGGCGAAGGCGTCTTGCTCAGCACGAGTAATGTTGCGGTCCTTGGCCATGTTTTCAGAGAGAACGCCCATGGGCACCTTGCAGTTGGCGGCTTCCTCGTGGCCTTCGAGGAGCTCAGAGAATTCGGTGACGGCTCCGGGGCTGGAAACGATTGTTAGATAATTTTCTTGGGAGGAGGGTTTGTGGAATAACTTACCCGTATTGAGACGACATGCTCTCAACACCAGCACCGACACCGACGTCGATAACGCCAGCCTTCAGGGCATTGGCAATATCAACAACTGCCTGCAGACCGCTGGAGCATTGTCTGTTCAGGGACTTGACGGCAGCAGTCTCGGGGAATCCAGCAACGAGAGCAGCGGCACGGAACTCAGTAGCGCCACCTCCTGGAGCCAGGACGGAGCCAACTGCAATATCCTCCACGAGAGCGGGGTCAATCTTGGATTTCTCGATCAGAGACTTGAATACACCGGCGAGGAGATCAGCCGCAGCGGTGTCCTTGAAGCCGCCCTTGCCACCCTTGGTGAGGGCGGTGCGCAGAGCACAGGTCACGACAATGTCATCGGGGGATTTGGCGGTGACAGCAGCAGCTCCGCCCTTGCCCGAGAGGTGCGAAGTGACCTGGGAGAGACGTTGTGAAGCTGAGAAAGCCATCCACATGTTAGCCACAGGAACAGTGTATATATGGGAGATGTGGGGAGGCGAGTTCCAGGACTTACCAGCAGACATGATGGATGTATATATGTGCAATGGGTCCTAGACACCAAAAACAGAGCAAGACAGAGAATAAAGGGGTATAATGGGAGAAGAGAGACGCAGGAAAGAAAAGCAGACGGCGAGAATATCGGATGTTTTATATATCGCAGCTGCCCTTGCACCCGCCTGATCACAGAAATGCCGAGGCTCACCGGATCATTGTTGTTCCGCTAATCTCCGGGGCACGTGACTGCTGTTCTGGGTTAGTCCAGTCTTCTAGCGCCACACGTGATGCGAACCCTCGATCGAGCGCGTTTACATGTGAAGATTGGACTTGTCTGCTTTGTTTCCACCACAGATTTCACTATTTCCCCGCCGGCCAAGCGCGGGCTCGCCAGGAAATGCGCAGGTAACCAACCCTACTTCCACTCCCCGTTGCAGCCTTGCACACTGCCCGGCTATCATCGACTCCTGCTTGGGTTAATATAAGAACCCGCAGACTCCGATCCACACGGCAAACAAGTTCCTAGGTAAGTTGATAATAAACCTGACTATGTTGCATACGATTTCCCTGATGTCTGCTCAGCAATTTAGTAATCAACCAGCTATTCATGTGTCTGGCCACGCTGTTGTTTAGCTGGGAAGACGAACACATGCCTCGATCTACTCATGACGTCTCCATTGCCTGCGGCTTTTGATTTCTGATAACAAGTCAAACCATTCATGTTGTTCATTGGCACTTCATCCCATGCACAAATTATTTGAAATTGTGCCAGGGGGCTTCATTATCCAGGGGGAGCTATGATGTGCAATACTTCCTCATTTTTAACAATGAATTCAATTCAGTGGTGATGTTATCATTCTGGGACATAATAATTAGTAAACCAATCGAACACTACGGCTATGTGCTGGATGTGCCTAGCATCCCGCATTGAGGATTCTGGGATTCCACCAGCGGCAATCCGACCAGCATCGCATGCATGCGAAACCTGGATCCGAATACGAACAGCCGGATTTTTTCACTGAGAGTCAGTTCGGGATTGTTGACCGTATCTATGTAGGGCGACCTTGCCCGAGCCAAAGTGGCCTCAACGCCAGCCATAAAAGGAGGAATGCTAGTAGTTTATCAATACTCACGGCGGACTGAAATTGACGGCAAAGATCGGGCTATTCTTGCCTGGCGACAGATGAAAATTAACTATTCTTGCGGGTAATCTCGGATATCCAAACATGGGCGATTGGTTTAGTGGTATAATACCCCCTTAGCATCAGATCTCTGATATCAGAATCTCGCATGGGGGTGGTCCAGGGTTCGATTCCCTGATCGTCCATTTTTTATTTTTTTAAACTGCGATTCCAAGGTTCTATTCATGGCAAAGCTTACTCCGTATCAGATCCAGTTTTGTGCTGGCACCAGTGACATGTATATACCTACGGCGGGAAAATGCTAGGCCTGGGAGAATACGTACTATTTGATTTTTAGTTGCAAATGTTATTATATAGACACTACTTATCCAATCTCAAATGCGACAGACGTTTTGCATTTATCCTATGAATTCTTTCGTGCAAGCAGTCGTTATTCCTTGGGAATACATGATACAACCTTTTGCTCGGGGCTCAAATAGGCTTTGCCAAGAAATGCGGATAATGTTCTTTAGCTCCGATCTTCCAACTCCTCCAACCTCAACGACAGAAACACTCCCACACCACATACAAGCAGAGAAACATAGTGTATCCAGGCAGTCAATTTGCCTCACATTCGCCATGCCAATTGCCAGGTTCCCGGCACTGGCCGTCCAGGCGACCAAGCCAACTTTTGCGACAGCGATCTCCACCAGTCGATCGAACCCTAGCATATCAGGATGGATGTCTCTTAGCACCTTTGCGGTATGACTTTCACCCTTGAAGCCTCCCTTACATGCCTAACTGGTACATGAACTGATTACATTTCTAGACCTGCGCTCCCGCGACACCAAATCCATCCCGCCACTCCATTGCAACCAAACGATCCTCCTCCCAATCGCCCGCCTCCCCATCCCATGCCCTCCAAAAATACCAATTTACCACTTCTATCTCTCGATCATCAACTTCAAATACCGCCTCAACCCCTCCTACCACCTCCTCGACCCCGCCCCCAACAACCCCGGAAAATGATTCCTCCACCGCGCCAACTCCAGAGACAGGAAATGTGTATACAAACCCCTACCGCGCAAAGCGCACATGGCCACCAGATATGTCGAAGCTGTCACCCAAGCAGCAGTTCAGAATAGAGCGGAAATACCGGCGACGTGCTAAGCTGAAGTGGGCGCGGCCACAGTGGGCTAAATGGACGAAGTTGGTGCAGTGGGGGTTTATTGGATGTATGTGTTCCATGTTCCTTCGGTTCTGCCAACTGCTATGCTATATATGTGGGTAGAGAATGGGGGTAGAGGTATGCTAACGGTTTTCGTCTTCTGCGATTTAGATGCGGTTTACTATTGCGTGATGGTTATGGATCTAGAAGGAGGGGGGAATCCGTTTATGCCGGTGAGATACTTAAAACTTTTCTTTTGGCACCTGGCTCTCTGTCCAATAATATTTTAGTTTTCTCTGACTGACAAAATTTCGTAGATCCGAGAATACATCTACAGCCTCTTCGATGGATCATTCTCGACCGCTTCTGCCCCTTCATTTCAGAAGGAGCCAACCTTGCCTACCGACCCCTCCGCTAAACGCAGCTCGTGAGCAATATACCTAGCAACTTATTATTGAGAGTTTAGTGGGAGACGGGGATACCCGCTCCGTGTATTATAGATTATTTTTGAATATATATATATATCCTTTGCAATTTAGGTTATTGTGGCGCTATTCCTCATCTCATGTCGCTAGTATGATACATCTGTTGACCATTTATAATTTTATGCAAGGGAAATAACTTAACATGAAAAAGCAGCATCCATGTTAACAGAAGCCTAGAGTTCGTCGGCCAACATCCAGGCCGAAATGGCTAGTTTTTGGCGGACAATTCTGATCCCTGAGATCACCCGAAATGGGGGATCTAATGACAGCCAAAACATGGCATATTACGCTCAGTTTTCTGAGGTCAATAGCAACTTGCGTACTACAACAAGGTTACCTGCGAGTTTCGATGCCGGCGGTAACCTGTGACCGAGGAATGGACACTTGGTTTGAAAAATCTATAACTACAGAAACAGAAATTTGAGGCCAGGGAGGGGACAGAAGAAGAAAAAAAGACACGACTGGCATGGCAAGCAGGAATAATTTGTGACGTCTTGAGGTCCCCCCAATAGCCTCCTTGTCCTTCGTGATGAGTGAGATCAATGCTGTTAACTCCTACAAGGTAAATTCCATACCTTGGTGCCTGCCCCAATGTTGTATGCTGGAAACTTCCTCCCCCCCTGAATCTATACAGAAGGAAATTTAATAGCGGGAACTTGATAGCAGAAATCCTGCTATGGTTCATACAACGCCGCTAGCAACCCGCCAAGCTACCTTCCATGTATATATCCTTCGTCTCCGAATACCGAGAACCAGAATGGCTCTGCATCATGCGTGCAGAGGAACTCCAGCCAACTGCCATGGCTTGCCTATTATAGATATACCTACGGAGTAGTTTAACCTAGGTAGGTTCAAAAACCCTCCACCCCCTCATCTGAAAACTGCCGGCGCTAGTCATCAGTTAGCGATTCCTTGCTTGCGGCGTCCAATGATCCAAGTTTGCCAAAAGCTGCGGCGTTTTAACATAGTTTAAGTTCAATATATTTCAGACCATTGGCGTTTGTTGGTTAGGTGGGGATGATATTTTCCGATCATACGGATATATCATATGCCTGCTCGCCTGCATCTCAAATGTACTCAAGTCTCCTTCTCCCTCCTCCTTTCTTTTTCTTTCCTTTTCTGGGTCATTCCCAAGGACCCGGACCCGGCCAGACCCCCTAACTAGCCTGCTACAAACATAGTAGCTTTGCCTGTAGGCTGTCTATGTCTATATCTGTGCCGGTAGGGAGGGGTTGGCTGGTTTTATGCGGGGTATTTAGAACGAAAGCTATTTTTATTGTTTAACTAGTTAGCTTAAACTTTGATAAACTTTGAATGAAGGAGGGTTGGTTTTGGATTGAATTAGTTAGTTAGGATAGGATGATGGGATGGATATACGGTTCGTTCCGGGATTTTGGTTTCAGGGTGAAATTGAGATGATTGGTTTTGACGGTTGGCGATGTTGGTGATTGTATGGATGGATGTATGGGATGTGACCTGTGTCTGTGTCTGTGTAGGTAACTGCATAGTTTGGGAACATTGCAGTTGGGAAATTTGAATCATATACAAGGTGTTGGATGAGGGGTTGGAGATTTACTATGGCCCCTTTCAGTGAAGTTTATGTCATACATATTAACATTCGAGTAAAGGCGAGTAGAACTAATATAGGTACCGACATCGATATTTGGAAGTAGGAGAGATAGTTACTAGGGTATCAATCAACACGGAGATGGTAAATGTCATCCAAGACATCATCAATCAATCGATCAATAAATAAATGACATGGTGGTAGATATCCCCCCTCTCTTAGAACGTATATCCTCCTCCCCCTTTCCCAACCCACCCCACCACCCCAGTACCTCACAGCGTATACTTAAACCCTTCCAGCCCCTCAATCGGCTTCGTCGCCGTCCCCGCAACCACCTGCTTATTCCTCCTCATAAACTGAAAAGTCGTACACGCGACCAACGCCAGAATGAAAAACTGCAACCCAGCCGTCGTCCACAAACCAGGCACATATCTCGGCGCATCCACCTCTCTAAACGTCGTCGACGCAATGATGCCCCCAATCGCACCAAACCCAATCTGCAACGCGCTGCCCACGGACCGCTTCGACTGCAAGCGGATATTATTCGACTGGTACGCGAGGATCGCGGGCACATTACCCTGGCAGCCGGCGGTGCCGAGGAAGATGCCAAAGTAGCGCACGCCGGCCTTTTTGTGGTAGGCGGTTATCATTAGGCCGACGATGCTGATGATGCATTGTGCGGCGATGATGGGGGCGCGCACGCGGTAGCGGTCGCCTAGCCAGGCGAAGGTGAAGGCGCAGATTACGGCGAAGATTACCGGGGGTGCGGAGAGGAGGTTGGCGATGCCGCCGGAGTGACCCATGCCCTGATTTGGGGAGGTGGTGTTAGTGTTGAAAAAAGGGGGAAAGGGGGGGTTGAGTGTGTGGCTTACAGCGATGATGGTTGGGGAGAAGTAGGCAAATGCATATCTGGGATATAGTTAGAATTTGTGATCAGTAACCATTGGTACGCCGGAACTCACGCTGGCATTGTGGTTGACATGAACATGAGTGCACTGAATAGGGTTAGCAGTTGCTCATATAATAAAGTTAAGTCTCAGTCTCAAAACACATACAATGCCCATAACTTTAGATCCTGCAAATGTTTGAAGCATACTGCCCAGGTCAGGGGATCATGGACAGCATCTGCCCGATCTTTCTCAATACGATGCTTAATAAACTCGGCTTCCTCTTCGGTAAGGAACCCTTTCTTCTGAGCCTTGTCTGGGAAATCGATGATGAGGAACCAAGAAAGGATTCCGACGACTTGGGTCAAAAGGCCCTCGATGATCTGGATTATACAAATTAGAACATCCGTTTGGTACAGCATATATCGGATCCGCTTCGTGGAACTCACAAAAATCCAGCTCCAGCCTAGATAACCACCCAGTCCGTTCATTTGCATGAGACCAAACGCGAGAATGCTTGAAAAGCCTCCAACCAAGACAGAAGTGAGGTAGAATGCAGCGAGTCTGTGAAGGAGTAAGCATCCATCGGTGGGTTCATCCCGGGGTGCATGTGTATACGAACCTTGTCTGGATCTCGTATCTCACATACCAACAAGAAATAAGGTATACACAGCCGGGGAAGAATCCTGTAATATCTGATTAATCGTTTGTTTTTAAATGGATAAAAAAGAAGAAAAAAGGACCGACCGGCTTCAAAAAATCCCAAAAGAAAACGGACAGCGGTCAGAGCCTCCCAGTTCTTGACAAATCCCTGAAGAAGCGGCATCAGCGATCGTTCTCATGTTAAGGTATTGACGAACAACATACCTGTCCCAGCATGAACGAGCCCCATCCAAAGGCAACAAAGGCAAGCCAATTGGCGCTCCCAACTTTGCGAAGCACAATATTCGACGGAAGCTAAGCAACCCCAATAGCCATAATCAATTAGCAAGCATAATCCCAAAATATAACATCTAAATGAAGTAGAAGCTTACCTCGAAGATGAAGTACGGAATAAAGAAGACAACCAAAGCAATGGTATACCGTGAGCCTATAGAAA